TTAATTAAATATATATTTTAAATATTTTTAAAATATTTTAAAATTGACTGTGGTGAGGTTAGCACAACTATGAATACACAAAAAGAAGTGAGTGAATGATAGTAAATGCAAATTCTATCTCAGTAAAACTATTACTCCCTCCCTCCACAAACAAGCCTAAAAGAAAGAGAAATTTCTCTCAGAGAAAGGGAGAGATGCTCCAAGGGCCAGTGGAAAGAGACGATCAGGATTGCAGAAGAGAGTAGGCAGGATTTTTCCGGACATGAAATAAACTTGCCATGGTGGTGGTAGTGTTTGTGAGAACTGTGTTCGCCATACTCAAGGTCTTTGCGGTTTTCCAGCATGTCCAAGTTCCGCCAGGTGCGGCCCTTCCATACTCAGTGGAAGGTCTCCCGATTCTTTACAGCTCCTCATCGTCTTAACTTTGGGATCAACCCCTTCTGAGTGTTCTTCAGCTTATCCCTATGATAAAGCAAGAAAATCCCAGGGACCAGGAGAGAGCTGGAAGGTGGGAGGAGGCCTAAGGGGGGCAGTTTCATCAGAGAGAAACAGCCTTTCCCCTAGACTAATGGCTAGATTCCATTTCCTTCCGTAAAGTAGGGGAGGGGATTCCCCAGCGTCAGCCTCTAGTCATTGTTTCCACTCTTGGGGACTGGGTTAATAATACCTTGTCAAACAGAGCATCTTTCCTACTAGCCCTTAATTGAAACCCATTTTTCCCCTCAATGAGAAACTAGAACGTGGTTTTTTCCGGGGTCTGTACCGAGCCTTTCCCATTTGAATTGATTGAACTTAGCCAACAGGAGTAGACGGAGAGCTGACATGGACACAGCAGAAAGCCCCTGTTTGGGATCAGCAGTTTTATGTCCTTGTTCTTGTTATGTGCTCTTGAGTTGCCTCTGGCTCACAGCAACTCAACATGAACAAGCCCCTGCCACATCGGGCCCTGTCCTCACAATCTCCACCATGTTGTTGTTGTTATGTGCCATCGAGTTGCTTGTGACTCATAGTGACCCTATGTACAAGAACCCTAAACCCTGTTCTATCCTGTGCCAACCTCGCCGTCTCCAACACACTCATTCCCACCACCCTAGTCACAGAATTGATACATCTCATCAAGGGTCTTCCTCTCCTGAGCCATCCCTCCAACCTCCCAAGCATGACGTCCCTCTTCAAGGGCTGGTCACTCCTTGCAATATTGTCCAAAGTATGTCAGATGAAGCCTCAGACTCCTTTGCCTGCAAGGAGCAGCCCGGTTTCACCCTCTCCAGGACAAATCAGTGTGTTCTCCTAGCAGTCCATGGTATGTTCAACACTCTTCTCCTTGCACCACAGTCCAAACCCATCAATTCTCTTTCTGTTATCCCTAGTCAGTGTCCAACTCTCTGATGCATAGCACGTAACTATAGCCCGGATCAGGCACACCATAGTATCCACCCTGACATCGTTGCTCTTCAGTACTCCTGAGAGGTCCCTGACAGCAGACTGTCCCAATGCAATTAATCTTTTAATTTCCTGGCTGCTGGTACCAAGAGTGTTGACTGTGGAACCAAGTAAACAAAAACTGTTGACTATCTCAGTCTCTTCACCATCCATACTGATGCTGCCAATTGGCCCAGTGGTGAGAATCTTTGTTTTCTTGATGTTGAGCTTCAATCCATATTGAAGGCTGCAGTCCATGACCTTCTGCAATAAGCCTATTATTGTAGTCACTGTGTCAGTCCATGTTGTTGAAGGTCACCTTCTCTTTTGCTGACCACCTGCTTTTCCAAGATGTCCTTCTCCAGGAACTGGCCCCATCTGCTAACATGCCCAGAGTGTGTGACACGAAGTCTCCCTGTGTTGGCTTCTAAGAAACATCCCAACTGCACTTCTCTCAAAACTCAGTTATTAATTTTTTTTGGTAGTCCATGGTTATTATGTTCAATACTCTTCACCAACCCTGCAATTTAATTGCATCAATTTTTCTTCAGTCTTCATTATTCAGTGTTCTATTTTTCATGTGCATACAAAGCAGTTGAAAATGCCATGGGCCTAGATCAGATGCACCTTAGTCCTAAAATTGACATTCTTGCTCTTTAGCATATTAAAGAGGTCTTTCGCAGCAGATTTTCCAAGTGTGTGATATGTTGTTTGAATTGTCCATGTCATCGTTCTTGAAAGTCTTTGGTTAGCAAGCAGTTTGTAACTTAAAAGTTTCACCTATCAGTGCTGCAGAAGAGAGACCTTGGGATCTGCTTTCATACAAATTACAGCAAACAAACAGACAAACAAAACCCCCCTTTAGAGCAGGTCTGCTCTGTAGAATGTGGCATTGCTGTGAATCAGAATCACCTCAATCACAAAAAGTTTTTTGACTTGTCCCTTGTCCTCATTTGGTTTTGCAATGGCCAAAGCCTTTGCAAAGGTATGATGAGTGTTGTCAGCTTGCTCTATCTCTTTCCCGCTTTTAATAATCAGTAAGGTGTGCCTGATCCAGTCCATGTTCTTCACAGTTACTTACTATGCATCAGAGAGCTGGATTATGACTAAAGAGGCTAGAAGAATTGATGCTTTTGCGTTGTGGTGCTGGAGAAGAGTCTTGAACATACCATGAACCCCCAAGAAAACAAATAGGTCTGTCTTGCAGAAAGTAAAACCAAGTTTCTCTATGGAGATTAGGATTTTGAAGCTCTGTCGTACATACTTCGGCATGTGGCCAGGAGGGACCAGTCCTTGGAGAAGGACATCATGCTCAGAAGGGTGGAGGGGGACAGCACAGGAGAGAAAGACCCCGGATGAGATGGACTGACACAGTGACTAGGACAATGGGAGTATGTGTGCTGGAGTCAGTGAGACTGACTCAGGACAGGGCAGGTTTCAGAGAGCTATTGTTACTGTGAGTCGCAGTCAACAACACCCAACAACAACAGTTAAAATTGATCGTTTCAAGATAATAAAATGGAGCAGAAAATAGAAGCAGGTCTGGTGGCCTAGTAGATAAGGAGTTGTGCTGCCAGCCCAAAGGCAAGCAGTTCAAATCCATCAGTTGTTCTAGGGAGGAAAGATGGGCATTCTCCTCCTGTGCAATTTACACCCTCTCCAAATCCACTGGAGAGTCAGCTACAAGTTCGTTTCAACTTGGTAGCAATGAGACAGTGAGATATGGAAAACAGAAAACAAAACGAAACACAAGTGATTTCTGCCAACCTTCCTCTTTTGGATTAAGAGTCTCACTCGTGACCCAATGAGATTTGAGCCTCTAACTTTTCCGAAGAGAGCGTAAGTGAGGTTAGACCATTCTTAGCTTATACTGGATAATAACTCCACTGCCCATGCAGGGGCCACAGTTGACTAAGGCTAAACTGGATTGTGCAGAAAATTTTCCTTTTCCTTCTATTAGAAGCAAGGCTTTTGTCAAGAAAGTACGTCTCATTTTTATGGGTCTTTTTTTCCCCCTAGGACATCAGAAGCAGATGCTTTAGTATTTCTCTTCTTTTGTTTGTTTTATAACATCAATTACAATTGATAAAAGCCATTTATTATAACATTTCATGGAATTCTTACTGAACCTCATCTCCAGTTTACTGTGCCTTATATTGTGTGCCTGTATGTATCTGAAAGAAGGTCATAGGCCAGAAAGATTTTGTTGGGTGTTTTGTTTATATATTTGTGTCCATAATAAATAGCTTTTCTCTCTGTGTCTTTCACTCCTTCCCTCCCTTGCTAGCCCTCTTACCCTCTCTTACTTTATCACAATGTTATTAGTGCTGTTAGGTGCTGCCCAGTCAATTCTGGACCTCTGATGACCTCATGTTAAAAAAACAAAAAGGTAGAACAGCCTCTTAAGGCTTTCTGGGCAAGCAGGAATATCTAGGGGAGTAGGGGAGCAGACTGCCAGATATTTTTCCTACAGAGCCACTGGATGGGTTCGAAGAGCCAAATTGTCGTTTCCTAGCCAGACACTTAACCGTCATGCTAGCAGGGCTCCTTGCCTTCTCAGGCCAAGCATAAAAACCAAAGCAAATAAATAATAACATTTTGTAGAGTCCTTATCCCTACCCCCAGGAACCATAAGATGCAAAGGACGAAGAGAGCTTCCTCCCCTTGCAGATGCGTTTTCCTCTGACCATACTGTCAGGAGACTTTCCGTAGAGTTTCTACTGCTCTGAGCACCCTGTGATTCTGATCTGTTGCTGTTAGCCACAGCCTATGTGGGAAGGGGCCATCTCTAGGGTAATAGCATTGTAAATTACAATCAATGCACTCAATTATACTCAGAACCCAAAAGATACGTAGTGCTTCTCTGTGTCTTGTAATTAGCAGCTTTGAGAATGGAGGTAACAACAGTTTGCTGAACAACAATGGGCAGGGGGTGGGGGAGGAAAAGAAGCGGAAAGTGTTTGAAAATGGATGTCAGAATTAAATCATCCCTCTGATAGGAACGCACAGGCCTTTCTATGGCAGGCAACTTTGCCCTTTTCTAGTATCATTCTACTGATTTTTTTTAAAGTCTAAATTGTGGCCTTGTAGCCAAGAATGTCTTTAAAAATCATTTATTGATCTAATCAGCTTGGCAGAGCCTCTCTGTCATGCTGATAAGGAAATTAAACTTTCCTCATACTGGGTTTACTTGTCTCTCGTGTGCAGATGTGATAGTTGGGTTTTTTTCCTTCATCTTTCAGGGAACTCATTCAGAAGTTGAAATCTTTCATCAGCTTCTACAGTGCTCTGCCAGGCTATGTCTGCAGCCACAGCCCAGTGGCCGAAAACGACACCCTTTGCTGGAATGGACAAGAACTGGTGGAAAGGTGATTTGATTATTTTTTTTATGTTCTTTATGAGAGATGTTTGAGGAATGCTTACATGTATTCTATTCCCAAGGTTGATTATATCCTCTTAGTCTCAATCACACGTGTCTAGAAGAAACAAAAGCGTGGGCATGTAAGATGTATAAGTTTTATAGCCCTTATCGAATCTACAATATGTGTTCAGTGACATTTTACAAAGTGTAAAATAGGAAATGTGTTGTGTGGGTCTGCTCTGACAAAAAAGTAAATGGGGGTTTGCACACACAAAGAAACTTTCTTGGATGGTTACAGGGGGTGAGAGGGAAGGGCAAGGGGAGTAAAAATCAATAGATAATCAACACATATGCAAATGAGTGAAGGGAAAGGCAATATACCATACATATCATTAAAGGAAGACAGAAAAAGCGCAGAAGAGAGAAAATCAACAAAGGTAAACGCTATATTGTATACAAGCCTTCAATATCAGAAATAATAAACCTTATTATTATTATTGTAAACTATTATTATTGTTGTTGTTAAGTGCCGTTGAGTCATAGACCACTCATAGCGACCCTATGAATGAAAGACCTATTCATTGAGTTTCTGGAGGCAAGCCATTTCAGAAATGGGTACCACTCCTGCTTCCAAGCTTGATCTAATCAGGAAGCTCCACCAAACACCGTCCACCATGGGTGACCATTATCACATTTGGCACGTGAGTATCACAGTGTTCAGCTTCATAGTAACCACAAATTACCTCTGTACAGCAATGCACAGACCAGTGCTATACCACTTAGAATGTTTGACAAAAAACAATTTAAACCAGGCCTGAGGGCCGCAGATTAAAGTCACCCACCTTGGGCTTAGTAGCATAACTTTCCTTTAGGCCAACATAATTCTCTCTATGTTGTCGTTGTTATTGTTGTTGAGTGCCGTTGAGTCGTAGACAACTCATATTGACCCTATGAACAAAAGGCCTGAGTACAAGCCATTTCGGAAGTGGATACCACTCCTGCTTCCAAGCTTGTTTTTATTATTATTATAAACATTATTATTATTATTATTATTATTATTAACTCTAGTGGCCTAATGGCAAGAAGCTGTGCTGCAATTCTGAAAGCACATGGTTCAAGGCCACCATCTGCTCTGTGGGAGAAGCGTGGTTAATGTCCTCCCGTGCCATAAACTGCCTTTGAAAACCCACTGGAGGGTCTGTGATTGGTCAGTTCCGACTCAACAGTACACACAACAGCAACAACAATCTAAAAAAATAGTTCTAAAATTTTATTTTGGCTTAGGCTTCTTCCACATCTTCATTATGTCTGTCTTTATTTTGGTTGATTTGAAGAAATCATGATCATGTTGTTGTGTGCTATCAAGTTGGAACCGACTCCCGACTCCTAGCTAACCCTGCAGCAGGTTTTCAGAGGCCATAAATCGCATGGGAGGAGATTGTCCATCCTTCTCTCACAGAGCAGCTGGTGGACTCAAATGGCGTACCCTTAAAGCAAAACACTCATCCTGTAGCACACAGTACAACTGTCCCTGTAATCTTCAGGGAAGTAGGCTGCCTCATCTTTCTCCCATGGAATTACTGGCTCCAGGACTCAAACCACCAACCTTTTGGTTAGAAGTTGAGCATGTAACCACTGCATCACTAGGGCTCCTTTCAGTCATTCCGAATAGCTGTCATTTCATATGTGTTGATATTTGGTCACTGTAACAGGCTTACGAAGCAAGTAGTGTTCTTTCACCCCAGATCAGAGATGAAGATGTGGGAAGAAGAGGTAAGTACTGCTTTTCGGAGCTGTTTTCTTAAAAAGTCTGATCATCTGAGCATTTGTAAACTCTAATAGCAGTCTTGCCTTGTGTTGAGAATTTGCTCAGCATTGGAAAGGGGATAATCTCTATTCATTTCCTCATCACACTTTTCCTGAGTTCCAGGCGTGCTCAAGTGAGCAAAAGATACAATTCCTGCCCACAGGGAGCTTTCATTCTAATGGGGAAGTACCTAGCCTTCCTCTAGTGCTCTGTATAAGGGAGAGCTGTTGTTGTTCAGTACCATTGAGTTAACTGACCCATAGCTGACCCTCCAGCAGGTTTTCAGAGGCAGCTAATCATATGCAGAGTAGCTGGTGGATCTGAATCGGATGCCTTTGGGATTGCAGTGCAGAGAACTAGGTTGCAATTAAAGAATTAAATTAGGAGGGTGGGAAGTAGAGAAAACCACATAAAATTAGTTGATGGACACGCTGATCATCTCTGTGGATTTCTTCTAATTCATTCATTTATTCATGCCTTCAACATCCCTGTTTTTAGATACTGCATGACCGCCATCGTGCTGCCAAAGAGCAAATGAGAGTCAGGTTTAATGCCCCCATGCCCCTCTTTCCACTCCAGAGGAGAAGGGAGTGTTTGCATGGTGAAAATTCATCAGAAAATTTAACATTCTTTTTATATTGGCATTTGGCTTTCTTTTTTAAGAAAAATGTTATTTTAAAACATATATATTTAATTTTAAAAAACCCATGCTTTTGAGTACTAAAGAGCAACAGTGAAAGTCTTCAGACTAAGGTGTGTCTGATCCAGGCCATGGTCTTCGCAATTACTTGCTATGCATCAGAGAGTTGGACAGTGACTAGGGATGATAGAAAGAGAGTTGATGCCTTTGAGCTGTGATGCTGGAGAGGAGTATTGAATATACCATGACTGCTAGGAGAACAAACAGGTTGGTCCTGGAGAAGGTGAAGCCAGGCTTCTCCTTGGAGACAAGGATTCTGAAGCTTTGCCTGACATACTTTGGTTATGTTACAAGGAACGACCAGTCCTTGGAGAGGGACGTCATGCTTGGGAGGGTGGAGAGAAAGTGCAGAAAAGGAAGACCCTGGATGAGATGGAATGATTCAGTGACTGGGGTAATCAGGGTAGGTATGTCAGAGACAATAAGATTGGCACAGGATAGAGCAGGGTTTAGGGCTGTTGTACATAGGCTCGCTATGAGTTGCAAGTGGCTTGAAAGCACATTAACAACAGCAACAAAAAGAACTGTTGTTGATCCAATTCTGAGTCATAGTGACGTTTGGAGGACAGAATAGAACCAGGTTCAGAATAGATTAGAGTTTCCAATGCTCTCACCATCACAGAAGCGAACTGCCACCTCTTTCTCCATGGAGTGGCTGGTGGATTGGAATCTTTCTGTTAACAGCTAAGCTCTGTAGCCACCCTGCCATCATGACACCTTAAGAGAGGTATGATGTTGTTAGGTGCCATTAAATTTAGTACTGCTCGTCGCGACCTATGTCCCATCCTGTACCATCCTCACAATCTCTGTCACACCTGAGCCCATTGCTTCAGTCACTGTGTCAGTCCACCTGGTCTTCCTCTCCTTTGTCGACCTTCCACCTTTCCAAGCATGATGTTCCTCTCCAAGGAATATCCTCTCCTAGCAATATGCTCAAAGTATGTGAGACTAAGCTTTATTGTTTTTACTTCTAAGGATATAAATGTATAAACAGTATGAATTTTTTTTTAATGCCCACAGGTTAAATATATTGCCCTTGCCCAAACTTGCAAAAAAACCTTGTGATTAGTATTGTGGTTTGTTTGATGTAATGAAAACGGAATGATCCCTGAATGTAATTCTTGCTTGTTTTAAGCACAGCATATCTTCTAACCATGGTCTTATATTGGAAAGCAAACGATCATGTTTAAGTACTGGTTTTATCTATTATTTACTCATTTAACAAATATAAAGCAGCTACTGTGTATAGGTCGGGTGGCCTCGTGGTAGACGTTACACTGTCAGCCTAAAGGCAGGTGGTAGAAAGATGGGACAGTCTCCTCTTGAGTGATTTACAGCCTGAAAACCTGGTGGAGGGTCAGCTAGGAGTCGGTTCCAACTCGATGACACTCACCAACTGTGTATTACGCATTAATGCAGTTTCCTTTTCATTTTTTTTTCTTATTGTAGAAGTATATCTAACATTTGGCAATTTCGCATTTTTCCATTATATGGTTTGGTGATATCAATTACATTAATCACGTTAAACGTTGTGTCTTAATTATTGTAATTGTTTACAGGCAACATTTAATCCAGCTGGATATTCTTTTTCAAGAAATAAATTCTTCGCAGGCTTACATTTTTTGAATTAGTGACATTTGTGTTACATTTTGCCCATATAAACAATTTCATATTTGTTATACTTTCGTGAAGGATGTGGCCTTGAAACCAAAGAAGTTGTCTTTTATCAAATGGTAGAATTTAAAGTCTGCTAAATGTAATGGGTCCAAAAGTGAAGAAAATGTACTTTTGCACAATTAAAAGAGCTCTACTAACTGGGAATTGTGGGGAAGAAATACCTAATTTCCTAACTTTGAATAGCTTAGGACATTGAACAAAAGAATAAATATATTATGTGGAAGAGCTCTTTTTCTGAACTACCTTATATACTTCTGAAAAAAAATATATTTTTTTCCACAACAAATTTTATTATTACTATCTCTTCTCATGCAATTAACTGCCTCTGAAAATCTAGGTCATCTATGAGCCTATTCTGACTCAACAGCCCACAACAACAACACATTTACTTAGGGAGCTCTGTTGGCCTAGTGGCAAGAAACTACACTGCAGTTTTAAAGGTATGTGGTTCAAATCCACCAGCTGCGCCATGGGAGATGGAGGGGCCGTCTCGTCCCATGTGATTAACTGCCTCTGAAAACCCACTGGAGGATTAGCTGTGAGTTGGTTCTGACTTGACGGCATATAACAACAGTACATTATTTAGGAGGGAAAGGGAGGGAAGGTGGGAGGGGGAGAGGATGGAAGGAAGGAAGACTAGAAGGAAATCAAATAACAAGTAATGTAGTCCAGGAAGTAATTGCTCTAACCTGAGGTTATAATTAGCCTGTACTGGTATTACTGACCTAATGCACTGATGGGAGTAGGGAGTAGTGAATCTTGTCAAACTAGCTTGCTTGCTTTTTTTTTTAAAGCACCAGCTACTTACAACTACACACTTAAT